TGAGGCTGCGGGCCTGAGCTGCCCGCGGGCCAGCGTGGGGCTGACTTCCTGGGCCAGGCCTGGGCGCAGCTGCTGGGCTGCTTTCCACGGCCCAACCCCGGACCTGGCCCGAGGACCCTGGCAGTCCCCTCTCCCCCTAGGCACCCGACGCTCCCCAAGACCTTGGGCCACTGGCCCAGGCTGAGGGTGTGGGGTCCCTTCCACTGTCCTCACCAGCCAACACAAAGTGGCAAAACTCATAGACCAAGTAGGAGCTATTTATTCGGTTCACAGTCGTGTGAAATGCAGCAATAAAAAATCTTTGGACTTCAGCAAGTTGTTTTAATTTTTTTCTTCTTTTGAAATAATAAAAAAGTGTCTGATGTCCTATAATGGAGCTTAGGGGATTAAAAAAAGATGAAACCCTAAGCAGCCCCCTTCGCAAAAAAGAAAAAAAAATCATAAAATTAGCATAATCTCATAAACATAAAAAACTCAAAAAATATTTTATAGTCAGATATTTTGGATTTTATACCACCTGTAAATTATATATACATAGAATATTGCAGAACCATAGCTAATACAAGATATTTTCACTATTAATGCTGGTATAATCTTTATACACTGGCCCTTTAGTTATGATTTTAAATTATTGCATTGTTCGGCGCAGACTGAGACCTGGACTGGGTGCCCACCCGCAGCCCTACTCGCTGTCCGACTTGCCCTCCTTGGCTGTGGTGGAGTGGTTGTACAGGCCCTGCGCCATGAGGTGCACGGCCAGGGTGTTCTTGTTGCCGGTGGCCTTCTTGATCTTGGCGCGCTTGTTCTGGAACCAGATCTTAATCTGCGACTCGTTGAGGCTGAGCTCCTGTGCCAGGCTCTGGCGCCGCTGCTCTGTCAGGTACCTGTTGGTCTGGAACTCGGCCTTGAGCCTCTGCAGCTGCTCGGCGGTGAAGGCCGTGCGCGGCCGCTTGTCCTCTTTGTTAGGGTTCTTCTTCTTTGGTTTTCGAGACCTGGGACCTGGGTGGACAGACAGAACTCAGGTTACCCAGAGGTGGGCTGGAGACAGGCACTGGACGGACAAAGGCCAGCCCCCCAGGGGAAGTGACGAGCCTGAGGCCACTCAAGGCTGATGACCTCTACAGCCTGGTGAGGGCAGACCGGGTGTGCATGCAAGTGGAGTCAAGGGACAGGTTGAACACAAACAGAGGGCTCCGGATAAAAGCAAAGCTCCTGAAGAAAAGCAAAAAAAAAAGAAAAAGAAAAGAAAAGAAAACACACACACACACAAAACTTTCTGGCCTGGTCATTTCTAGCTCTTTCTGAGGCTCTGTCCAGGAATAAGGGTGAAGGGTGTGGGTAGGGGGAGTGAGGGAGAGGTAAGGGGGAAGACTGGGGCAGGTGTCAGGGCAGTCAGAGAAGCAGGTGGAGCCCCCACAAGGGATGCCCCACAGGCTCTGGGAACCAGGGGCAGGTGGGCCCTGGGAACAGAAGGGACCCAAAGCATCTTTCTGACTCCCACCAATGGTTCTTTGAGCCCAAGTTCATTGCTTCTTCTGTAGATGGGATGGAGCATGAATATCCTTTCTAGAAGGGAAAGGGGCACTGGTAGCTCCTTCTTCACCTACTAGAGGTCTCTCCAGTCCCATGTCCATGAGAGGAGACCTGGCTCTGCATGGGTGCTGACCATGGTGATCTGGACTCCTCTTTCCCCAGACATGGGGCTGTCTCACTAGAGGTAGCAGGGTGGCCCGGCTGACCTTGGGCAGGTCCACACTTCTAACTTTTTACACCATGCCTCCCCAGAAGGAATCCTCACAGAGTTGCCACTGTTTGGGGGTAGGCTGGTGCTAAGGCTCCTTAAGGCCCAGCAGAGCAAAGAGAGCCGAAAGAGGCAAGTATAAGAGGGTTCTTTTTGATATCAAAAGGCTCAACCATATGAGGAGGGTTCCTTGTGAGGGAGGAGGCATGCAAAGCCTCTGGCAGGGAGTGGTAACCTCACCTCCGGCCTTTTCAGTCTGTGAGGTATGTGAATCAACTTTGGGGAGCCCCTGGCCCCAGCGGCATAAGATGCCCCTTTGGCTGGAGGCTGGGTCTCATCACCCCACCCTTCAGGGTCAGGAACTGGCTGGCCACCCTGAATGGCAGAGGAGGATGGATCTTGCTTGGAAGCACTGCCCAACCAAACAGAGGCCCGGGGCAAGTGCTGAGACTCCTCCCCAGTAACAAGCCTGAAAAGGGGCTGTAGTCACCAGAGAGGGAGCACCAAATGCAGTTTCTAAAGTGCACCCACATGCACAACCACCACACAGCAACTCACACCCCGTATGCATACACACACGCACAGTCACTGTCCTGCTCATGTTTAGGGCTCCATGCCGACAGACCTGGCTTTGGTGGAGTGGGTGAGGATCTGGGGAGTGGGCCGGCCCTCTGGGAAGGGCAAAAGGGAAAGAAGATGGGGTGTGAGAGACCAGGAGAGGTCCCAGGTGGCCACTCATCTTTGGGGGCCGACCCCAGCCTTGACCACAGCCTGGAACCCGTTTCTGTGTCCACTCCCTTTCCCCTGGAGAAGCACGCTCCCTGCCCCCAAACTCCTGGGGCTCTTGTTAATGTACACACGAATCGGCCCTCCAAAAGACACCATTTTACAGAAAGAAATCTCAAAATCATTATTTTGGGTTCCTTTTTCTTTTTTGATTTTCTTTCAGAAGCCAAATATGAGTCTGGGAAACAGAATCGAACCTCTGCAAGAAAACTCTCTCCGCCCCTTCCTTCTGAAATGCTAAGGAACATAAATCATATCTTACAGCGATATTTTAAAGCCCAGCAAGACCAGCAACTCTGCTGGGCCAGGCTCTGCTGCTGGGCTCCTGAGCTCCCAAGGGCCTCTGGAGCCTGGCTTGGCTGGGACTCTGGCGCGGCACAAAGCCCCGGCCGAGGCTCCTCGCCCGCATTGTGAGCCTATATGTTAATTAAATATTAACAAAGGAGGGAGATGAGAACAATGGAGCAAATTTCAGATCTAGCTGGAAAAATTTGAATTCCATCAGAAATATGCACACACATTTCTCCAGGAAGGCGGCCGATGGGGTGACTCAGCCCCGCTGTGATCTGAGTAAAAGACACCCACAAAATAGTTCAGGGCAGGGGGCAGCAGGAATCTGCTGCCAGCCCCAGGGACAAATGGAGCCCACCCCTAATGGCGGTTCCCAGCCGCAGACCCGCGTCGAATGCAGTTGATAATTTCTACAAAGACATGGAATTAGTTTTTAAAAATCCCGGATCAAGGAAAAAATACACCCAGCACCTCTGCACATTCCCCAGGAAGGCTGCTGCTTTCCCATCCCAGCAGCCTCCAGGAAACCCTGCGAAAAGGTCCTTTCTATTCGGGAGAGGACAAGGACCAGCGGGCTGGTGGCCTCCCTTGTTCCAAGCCATGCAGAAAGGGTGGGAGCTCCTCTGCGGTCGGCTCAGCAAATAAAGTCGAGCACAGAAAACTGGGCGCCTTTATTTTCACCCCTTCGCTGTGTCCTTCCACCTACTCTCCCCCGTCAGCTCAGGCCGAAAAGGGGTCGGAAGAACAGCGACGCGCCTTGCCTTTTCTTCCGGACTACATCTGGGGTCACCGGACGGCAGGACAGTCAGCCTGGGGGTGCGCTGGGGCTTAGGTCCCGGGGCTGGCCCGAGTTGAAAGATCACGGAAAAAGGGTTGAGAGTGCCATCCCCGTTCCTACCAAATAAACTGCCTGCAGGGGAGACGTGGGCCAAGGCCGGCGAGGAGGTGCCCCAAAGGGAAAGTGTGTGCGTGTGTGTATGTGTGTTGGGAAGGTGAGAAGACAGGGGGAGAGGGGGAGACCCTGTTCCTTCGGCTGTCCTAAGAAGTCTGTACCCCCTGGCGAATCAATCGTGTCCCATCGACTTCTGGCCACTGTCCGGGTCCACCAGCGTGTCCCGTGAGTCTTTGTGGGGTGTGTGTGTGTGTGTGCGCGCGCGCGTGTGTGCGTGTGTGTGTGTGTGCGTGTGTGTGCTGGGAGGTCGTGACATCTTCCCCCTCCCGGTAACTCCTCCGCGGGGGTCCCCGCTGCCAGCCAGGAGTGGTCCCCGCGGGCTCACCTGAAGAAGGCCGGTCCGAGTAGCGCGTGCAGTAGACCCAAGCCGGCCAGAGCATGGGCTGCGCACCCAGGTTGGCGCTGGCCTGCGAGCTGTCCGAGTCGGAGCTCACCGACAGGTCGCCGGCGCCCAAGCCGCGGGCCTTGAGCGCCCCGTCCAGGGAGCCTCCCGGGTC